ATAGGATTCTCTTGAAACTCCAGGAAAAAAAAAATGGTGTTATTAGCCATCCAACCTCAAAAATACACTTTCCCAAAAAGGTTTCCACAATTTTGGCCACTAATGTACATTGTGGGTAGTTTCAGGACCTCAGACAGCTCCAAACATCAAAAGTGCTCTCTTGGGGTACAGGTAGGTCTCAATTTACAACGGTTCATTTAGTGACCATTCGGTTACAAAGGCACTGAACAATGTTGACATATGACCCTTTTTTTTCATAGTTACAACCTTTTGCAACAACCCCATGATCAACTAGCTCATATTTATGACGGTCCTAGTTTTCCCGGGGTCATGCGATCCCCATTTTGCGACCTTCTGACCAGCAAAGCCAGATTCACTTAACAAGCTGGTTACTGATTTATCAACTGTAGTGATTCGCTTAACAACCATGGCAAGAAAAGTCGTAAAATGGGGCAAAAACTCAACTTAAAAATATCTCTCTTTTAACAGCAGAAATTTTGGGCTCAAATTATGGTCGTACAGGTTGAGGAACGCCTGTAACTTCTAATATCATCCGGGCATCGTGGTGCAAATATGGCAGTAAAGGCGGTCCTCGACTTACAACCAAAGCGGAGCCCCAAATTTCTATTGCTAAGCGAGACAAAGTGAGTTTTGCCCAACATTTTACCGCCTTTCTTGCGTTCGTTTCCTAGCTGTGTGTTCTCTGGTCGTTGTGATTCTTTTGTCTTGCTTTGGGTTGACACCGTGCCTCAGCTTTGGATCGTGCCTGGTGAATTTTGGCCTTTTCTTGTTTCGTGAAAGCTTCTTGTATTGTGCATTTAATTTTGCCCGTTGAGTTTATTTTGACTGGGAAGATTTTCAAGTGCCTGGTGGACTCAATTGGCCATTGCTCGGTGCTTGTGGCTGGAGTTAATTGGGACAGTTCTGGATTTTGGGTGAAGGGGGTTGTGGGGGAATATTAATAAACCCACTAAGTCACAGTTGTGTGTGTGAGCGGGACAGCACAATGACCCGGACCAATCATGGCAGTTTCAGAAATGTCCTTTGCTCTTGCATCCATCCATCTACGTATTTATCTTGCCCGTCCATCCTCTTCTATTACATCTTTCCTTTTCATTCCATCCATCCTTTTTTCATCTCTCATTTCCATCGTCCTTTTTTTCATCTCTATCTCCATCCATCCAACCATCCACCATCTCTCCCAAAAGTGCTTTTTTTAAAAGGAGGCAACTTGGGAGTTTCTGGTTTTTCTTTGAAGACGTTTCGCTTCTCGTCCAAGAAGCTTCTTCAGCTCTGACTGGATGGAACCATTCATTCACCATCCAGTCAGAGCTGAAGAAGCTTCTTGGATGAGAAGTGAAACGTCTTCAGAAAAAACAAGAAAGTCCAGTTAGAAAGTCTTTAATATCTCTTTCTTTCATATCTACATCCATCTACCCATCCTTCTCATTTTTCATTTATCTCCATCCATCTATCTTATCCATCACATCTACAGGAAGTCCTGAACTCATGACATATTTTCTCCAAGGGTGACTTTTTCACAAGTGAGTTGTTGCAAGATCAGCTGGATCCAGATGTTGTTTTTAAAAAGGAAATTACCGTACTTTTTGGCGTATAAGACGCACTCCTCCCCCAAAAGTGTGTGAAAATTAATGCGTCTTATATACCAAATGTTGCCGAAGCCCCACCCACCTGCTGGCCCCCACCCTTCGGCCGTTTTCGGCCTCCACACGCTCCATTTTAGACCCTTTCCAGGCTGCGGGGATCGCCACAGCATATCGCCAATTGCCGCCACCGCGAGTCACATTTTCAGCCTCCGCATGCCCTGTTTTTGGCCTCCGTGCAACGCATTTACAGCTGGTTCCAGGTGGCGGGGATCGGCGGTGGCGGCAATCCCTGCCGCCTGGAACCAGTCAAAAATGCGATGCACGGAGGCCAAAAACGGGACGTGCAGAGGCCGAAAGCACGACGCGTGGAGGTGGCGATGGGCTGTGGTGATCCCCGCAGCCTGGAACAGCTGATTGGCAGTATTCCGGGAGGCTGATCCAACCGCCAATCAGCTGCTCATGCTGAATCAGGATGCCATAACGTGCTGAAGCTGACCAGGCTGTTGGCTGCAAGGACGCTAGCCAGATGAATACCGATGGATGCTGGTAAGCAGAGGCAGAATTTTTACCCCGTTGTTTTCCTCCCCAAAAACTGTGCATCTTATACTCTGGAGCGTCTTATACTCCAAAAAATACAGTACTTACCTTTGAAACAGCTACTAAACTGCACTTATGTTGTGTTTTGTTTGGTCATTCAAACCTCAGCAAACCCCTTTGCTGTTTTCTCTTGTCATATCTCCTTAGACTTTTCCCCTTGTTCTCAATGGTTTCCACCCAGAACATCAGAAAAATCTTACATTACAATGAAACAAAATTCCTCCGAGATGGCTGCATTTAAAGCCAGGCGTGCAAATTTTGTTTTGTATTAATGCACGCAACACACAGACGCACAAAAACCCAGAAGACGATGAACATCTAGTGGCCACGTAGTGAATGACTTAAGTTTTCCATTCCGGGAAAGCTTGGCCTATTCGTGATTCTTTCCTGAAATCTGAATTTCAGCCCCATCGTGACACCTGGGAAATTCCTAGTGCACTTTTAAGGATCTCATTTTGACCCAACTCAACAATAACAAAAGAAGCAAAACAAAAACAAAAACCCTGAATTGAGATAATAGCAGGAGAAAGGTGGGGGGGGGGGAGTTTGTTTTTCCTTCTTGCAAAGACACATCCCCCCCCCACTCCATCTTTCTTTTCCTGCATTTCTTCCCAGCAAACATTTTCATTAATTTTGGTTCCCAGAAGAGAAAGCCACAATACAGGAAGACCTAATGATCATTTAATCAAAAGGAGGGAAAGGGGGGAGGGAACCCCGAAAGGGCTAACGTTCTATGAAAAAGAAAAAAAACCCATTCACACCCAAAAAAAGGTTTTTTTTTTTTCCCCCACATCATTTTTCTTCTTGGTGCATGGAAACAAATCTCAAAGGTTCAAAACAAAACAAAAACAAACAAAAAAAAAATGGAACAAGGCACATTACAGCTCAGTAAAGAAAAGGCAGTTTTTTTTTCCCCCCCCTCCGATTTTGGTCACACTTTCATCCAAGTCCTGGCAGTTGCAAACAAGCTTGGGTTGTTTTTTTCCCCATGACACAACAACCTTTGCGCAAGCTGTTGGAAGTGAGAAATGACACAACAGGTTAGGCCATGTAACACCTTCGAGAGGAGGAGGAGGAGGAGGAAGAGCTGCAACCAAGGAGACAAAAAATAAAATAAAATAAAATAAAATAGAATACAGGAACATGATTCCATTTAAACCTTGAACCACAACTTAAGGAGGACACGTGGGCCTTAACTGACATGCCAAAAATGAGTTCTTTTTTCGAAGACATCCTTCAGAAGTCACTCCAAAGTTCAGGCTTCACATCCTTTTAACCGCCTAGAGCGAACTGTTAGTGGCAGTTGTGATGGAAGGGGGGGGGGGGGGAAACGCACAGCAATACAATATGCCAAATATAAGGATATAAACCTCCTGACCAGAGAAGGAAGCTGGAAGAAAAGAGATTTAAGGTCGATATCCACAGGAGCTGAAAAAAGGAGAAACAAAATAAAATAAGGGTTTTGCCCAGCAGCAGAAAAACAAACCCGAGATAGATCTAGGGAGCTGAACTGTTTTCTCAAAAGAGTTTTAAGAAAGCTACAGACAGGGAAAGGATTTCAAGTGAGGCGAGTAGATTTATACAGCTCGGATAAAACTAACGGCAAGAAGGAACATACTTTCCGGTTAAGAACTTAACACTTGTTAAAAGTCAACATGCTAGCCAGGGTTATGACAATCGTTATGAAGCCCGGGGGGGAGGAAAGGGGGATTTTGGCGTAACAAACCATGATGCTGGTAACAAGCACAGCCGGTTTCCTTCACTCTTCAAGCAAGCAAATAAAGCAGGACAGATTTGGTATGTCAAGACCAAGCGTGCAGCCGAAGAACGCAGAAGGCGGCTTAAACTGGGATCCCAAGGAACAGGGCAGGGAAGAGTTCTAGATTCAAAAAATGGAAAAAAAGGGATCGAGAGAGACCCACATCCCAGCAATTCTGGAGTTTATGCAGAGATCCCAAAACATTTAAGGGATTTCAGGGATTGCCAATGTGTGCACCCCCAGATGTTCCAATTCATCGCTTGCCCTCAAAATTCAGATCTCTCCATTGCCTGGTTGTTTGCCATCAATATGCAAGCTATTGTGGTCTGCCAAGCCAGGATTCCTGGCTTCACACAGCTTCTAAAGATGGCTCCGAAAGACAGATAAAGCCTTTTTCTTCCCTTCTCTCTCTCTCTCTCTCTCTCTCCTTGGCTGATTCAAAGCCTTGTCCTTTACAGTGGAAGATGCTTGGAAAACAAGGCCACGTTGGAAGAGACAAATACCACAATCCCACAAACGAGGCAGAATCAGGAAAAGTTTTAATTACCAAAATGGTCTGAAGAGCCAGGGAGAAAGCAAAAAAAAAAAAGAAAGAAAAAGAAAAGAAAAGAAAAGAAAGATACAAACCAGAGAAAAGAGATGGAGGAAATGGTTCATGAAAGGAGAGGAAAGAGGGGGAGGGGGGAAGATTCAGAGGAGGGGGAACGTTTGATCTTTAGTAAAAATAGTGTCTCAAAAATCTCCAGGGACCCCCCTTTAAGCCGGGCCCAAAAAAAAAAAAAAAAAAAAAAAAAGCCACTCGGATTTTCTCTCCTTTTTTTTAAAAAAAGTATTATTTTCTTCGTCCAGGCAGAAGAAGCAGCAGCTAAAGCATCATCCTCGCTGCTCTTCCTTCCCCTCGCCAATGCCCAGTGTGAAGTTCGCAAACTTTTGTTTTCTTTAAGAAATTAAAAAAAAAACAAAACAAAAATGCGGTTATAAAATGAATCGGCTCGCCTATTTTCACTTGGCACAAGGAGACATGCAAAGCTCAAAGGTGCTGAATAAATAGCAAAGGTTGGTTTCTTTTTTTTTTGTTTGTTTGTTTTGTTTGGCAACAACGAAAAAATATACGAGTTATTTCCTGACGGCTAAAAAAGAAGAAAAGAAAAAAAAGCAGGAGGCCACCAAAGTGAAATCTAGGTGTGCGTTTCCACCTCTGGGGGGAGTATGGAACCGCCACTACAAGCTAGGATGGGCATGAGTGTGTGTGTGTGTGTGTGTGTGTAGGTCTGTGTGTTACGCAGGTTTTGCTTGGAAACGATTTCAGAGGGAAGTCTGTCTCCCTTTGAGGATCACACCGCTTGGCTCAGGCCGAAGTCCATAGCAGCGTCGACACGAGTCCTCCGGAAGCGTCAGCCTGGCGTTCTCAGCTTGGGGAGTGCAATTCACAGGTTGAAGTTCAATCAGTCCGAAGGATCATGGGAGGATGCTCGCTGTCTTCGTCTAGCCGCAGAGCGCTGATGTCGTCCTCCAGGCAAACGCCGCCAACGGCCCCCAGATCTTCGTTGTAGACTGAAGGGAGACGAAAAAGAAGACAACTGTTCAAGAAGTGAAGTGCCTCCTTCTCGGTGGTCCGGGGAGGTTCTCCGTCATCCGGGGTCACTTTGTTTGGACCATTGGGGAAGGGGGGAAAACGTTTACTTTTAATTAGGTGAAAACCGCGGGAACATTCAGAGTCGGTTTTCACACCAGCCTGTGCCAATAGTGTTAGGGTGTGTGTAAAAAGTATTTGTTGCTTGTGCAACGAGCAGAGCAGAAACACACAGGGAAGGAGATAAATGTGCAGCTCGTGTGAGAAAAATACTTTATATACAAGATAATAAGCAGTCTCGGTGTAGGTAAAACAGTCCAAGGTCATAAACAGTAATATCAGCCCAGTAAGTATCTTCCCTTACCAAAGCAAACACACTTTAGTAACTCTCGGTATACAGTACCATATAACAATCCAGTCTAACACCAATCAGCAGAAAGACGCAGGAAGGAACAGGAACAGGAACAATCAGGAAAAAAGAACGCTTCTCTGTGCTGCTTATGTATGCACTGTAGCCTAATTACAGGGTTCAGCAAACCCTGATTACGTGGCTCAGTTGTTTCTTAAAGAAACAGATATATTGCCTGACCAACAAGTTAGGAGTAAGCTACAAGCTGAACCTAACATTCTCCCCATTGGGCAGAACAATATACACAATAGATACAGAAACAAAAATACACATCCAAATCATACATTGTACAGTGGTATCAGTTACATTTCAGACTCTTAATCCAAATCTTTCACAACAATTGGTGTGTTTAATGGCACCTTGCGCTTTGGTAAAATTATCGGCAATATTTTACCGGATATATATCGGATATATCCAAATAAAACTGTTCTTTGAGGAATTCACCTGAGTGTTGTTTGCTACGGGTGTTATTACTTGGAACCCCTGACAATAAGCTCTTCCACCAAAGAGCAGGAGAGAGACCATCTCCACCAACCATGACCGTCAACCTAGAAACGGACAAGTGGTAGAAAGACGACCCACGGAGTTCTGTTGTCTATCGTGGTTGCCAAGGCAGTGGTGATGCAATCAAGGCTTCCCTGTTAGTGTCGACTGACAAGGTGACAACCAAAAGACGGGGCTTTTGAGCCTACGGGCCTATTAAGTCATATGGATGGCATTCTCCCCGACGGGGATCCCTGCAAACTTCTCGGTCTACAAGTGGAAGGTTCCTGCGTGGTTCTTACCGTGTCTTGTGGGCGAAGAAGGCATATAAGCAGCACCTCTGGTCACAGCGGCACTGTAGGTCTGTGCTACCAAGGGTCTGTCATGAGAGGCAGATTCTAGAATTTCATTGGCTGGCTCCATGCTGCCATCCAACCTAGGGAAACAGACAAGGATACCTCAACCCTAAGGAAAAAGACAAGGATACCTCAACCCGGCGTGCCCTGGTGGCCTCCACAGCACAGCCGGACGTTCGGCAGGGAAACTCAGCGACGCTGGCAGGAAATCAGCTTTATGAGCTGCGGTGGTGCAGTGGTTAGAGTGCAGTACTGCAGGCTACTTCTGCTGACTGCCAGCTGACTGCAGTTTGGCAGTTCGAATCTCACCGGGCTCAAGGTTGACTCAGCCTTCCATTCTTCTGAGGTGGGTCAAATGAGGACCCAGATTGTTGGGGGCAAGAGGCTGACTCTGTAAAACGCTTAGAGAGGGCTGCAAAGCACTTTGAAGCGGTATATAAGTCTGCTATTGCTATTTATTTCAGGTCCAAAAGACTCCTTCAGCAGAGTCTAACTTTAATCATTTTGGCACACTGGTGGTCCTTGATTTACAATGGTAACTGAGGCCAGAATTACGGGTGTTAAATTGTGCCGGTCATTAAAGGGTCATCATGTAACTGATCCGATTTTATAAGGGTTTTTTTTCCCCCAGCAGTTAAGTGAATGCCACAGCTGTTAAGCAATCCACAATGGCCATTTTTCGGTTGTAACTCGAGAACTATGTCTACCGGTTTTCAGACATGACTGGATATTTCAAGAAAACATGCGCTCAAATCTTATTCTTCGCTGTCACCGAAGACCAATTCAACAGCTGTGTGTTAGATGCTCTGTGCCCACCACGTTTTTGGAAGCCCATATTATGAGTTTAGGTAAAGGTTCCCCTCGCACATACGTGCTAGTTGTTCCCGACTCTAGGGGGCGGTGCTCATCTCCATTTCAAAGCCGAAGAGCCAGCGCTGTCCGAAGACGTCTCCGTGGTCATGTGGCCGGCATGACTCAATGCCAAAGGCGCATGGAACGCTGTTCCCTTCCCACCAAAGGTGGTCCCTATTTTTCTACTTGCATTTTTTACCTGCTTTCGAACTGCTAGGTTGGCAGAAGCTGGGAGAAGTCACGGGAGCTCACCCCGTTACGCGGCACTCAGGATTCGAACCGCTGAACTGCCGACCTTTCGATCGACAAGCTCAGCGTCTTAGCCACTGAGCCACCGCATCCGATGGGTTTAGGACCAACCCTCAAAAGAAGAATTTTGTTGAAAGGGGGAAGTAACAGCGAGGGAGGGGGACTCACTTGTGCTGTTTCATCAGTGTGCATTCACCCCCTTCCTGAGGGTCCAAATTGTACATGTAGAGATACCCATCGGCAGCTGCTACCAACAGTCGGGGAATTTTCTGAATTCTAGAAGGAAGCAAAAAGATTCGTCAGCTAAGCACTGATGATGTCACCTAGGATGGTTATAAAACGTCTTGCAAGAAAACCATTAAGATCAGGGAGCACCAAAGCCCCCACCATTCATCAGCTTTCAAGGAAAAGTCTGCCTATTCACAAGTCTTGGAGCAGGGGAGGAAGAGGAACACCCCTTCCTCCCAAATTGTTCATTCTATTGGGTCAACTCTGCTCTCTGCAACTGAAGGAAGTACAGGGGCTCCGTCAGCCTCCATCTCTACTTAAGGAAGAGCTCTCGTGCCGTGCTGCTACTCACGTGGCCAAGGCGCAGATGTTTCTGTGCCCGCAGAAGGGGAGCCGGACTGTGGCAAAGGCTCGGCCTTGGTTGAACATTTCGGTCACCTGGGCAGGCAGGTAGTTTGGGAACGTCCGAATGGTCTCCACAAAGTACCCCGTCCAGGTGGTGGGTTCCTCCTGAGGTCTGGGACGGAGGGAAGGAGGGAAGAAAGAGAGAAGGTCTTCAAAACCGTCCCCTTAAAAACATGACTGTCCATCCAAGAAGTTGGGGATGGCTCTTCTTTTCAAACAGACCACAGGGCGTAGCCATCTCTTGTGCCGCTGCGGAAAACCACAATCTGATCCACAAAATTGTCGGCAGAGGTAGGACGGGACACAATCCACTCCCCTCTACCTCCTCCCCAACTTTTCTTTCTCTTGTTAAGGGGGTCCGGCTAATGAGGTGAGTCAGCCCCTTCCTTTCAGTCGCCCCAGGTTTAAGCAAATTCAGCCGCCCAAAACTTACTTCTCTTTCACAGTCTCCAGCTTGAAAATGTGCACCGTCTCTGTGTTACTGGAAGCCGACAGGAACATGCCGTCCATGCTGAAGGCCAACGAAGAGATGCTGACGCACCTGGAGGGAAGAAGCGAAGAGATGGTGGGTCAACCATGATGCAGAGGGAGGGGGGGGGGAAGGAAGGAAGGAGAGAATAGGAGGGGGAGGGGAAAGGAGAGAGGGAGGGAGGCAAGGAAGGAGAGAATAGGAGGGGGAGGGGAAAGGAGGAAGAAGGAAAAGGAGAGAATAGAAGGGAGGGAAGAAAGAAGAGAATAGGAGGGGGAGGTGAAAGGGGGAAGGAAGGAAGGAGAGAATAGGAGGGAGGGAGGGAAAGAAAGAAGGAAGGAGAGTATAGGAGGGGGGGAAAGGAGGAGGGAAGGAAAGAAGGATGGAGAGAATAGGAAGGTGAGGTGAAAGGAGGAAGGAAGGAAGGAGAGAATAGGAGGGAGGGAAGGAAGGCAGGAAGGAAGGAAGGAAGGAAGGAAGGAAGGAGAGAATAGGAGGGAGGGAGGAAGGGAGGAAGGAAGGAAGGAGAATAGGAGGGAGTGAGGGAGTGAGGGAAGGAAGTAAGGAAGGAAGGCAGGAAGGAGGAAGGAAGAAAGGAAGGAAAAAAGGAGGAAGGAAGGAAGGAGAGAATAGGAGGGAGGGAGCGAGGGAGCGAGGGAGGGAGGGAGGGAAGGAAGGAAGGAAGGAAGGAAGGAAGGAAGGAAGGAAGGAAGGAAGGAAGTTTTGTTGTTGAAACATTCGGAGACAGAATACTTCACACAGCCTTAAATCTCCCCCCCCCCGCCCCAAAAAAAATCTTTAGATTGCAATCCCACAATCACCTCTTCATGCCCCTTCGGAATTCAAAGAGCTTCTGCCCCTCTGGAATGGAAAATACCCGGATCACCGTGCCCTGCGGGAGAAAAGAAGTCCAACTTTTGAAGCCATCCAAGCCGCCCTCCTTCTCGAAGGGACTTCTTGCTGTTCTCTCTCTCTCTGCCTGGGCTCTGGTTCACTTGAGAACCTCTCGGGATCCACTCACGTTTCCCCAACCCCAGCATTATTTTTTTTCCCCCCCTTTCCAATCCCAGAGAAGGGATTGGAAACGCACCTTTTCGGAGGCGGTGGCCAGTTTCGTACCGCTTGCGTCGAAAGCCAGGGCGGCCAGCGGACTATCGTGAGCGGGGATCATGTTGGTAGCCCTCTGCGGAGAAGCCCGAGAACGGAACGTAAGACCTTAGTGCAGAATGGCGGCTCCTGCCCCCCCCATCCCCCCACCCCCCGATTTTTGGGAGTCCAGAGCCTGGCGGGAGCCTGCAGGACCCTACCAGGTTGATGGTGTCAAAAACTTGGACCTCGCCAATGGTCGCGCTCCCTGGATAGGCCAGATAACAGTTATCATTGTTTATGGATAGGGAACACAATCCTGAGAAGAAAAAAAAACAGGAAACGGCACGATTGGAGAACTCTCCTTTCCAAAACCGTCACGAAAAGAATCAAGATTAATGACGACGATAATATTATCCACCTTTAGTGGACTTTCTTTTTTTTTTTTCTTGGGATTAGCATGGCTAAAGCCCTCTTTTTATATATACCGTATTTTTCAGAGTGTAAGACGCACCTACTACCTTTTTTGGGGAGGAAAAGAAGAAAAAGAAATCTGCCTCTGAGCAATTTTGCCTCCTTGCAGCAAACAGCCTGCTTTACTTTCAGTTTCGTTTTCAGCATAGCTTGATTAGCACAAAGGGAAAAAAAAAAAATCTGCTCCAGCAATTTACCTCCTTGCAGCAAGCAGCAGAGCCCTGTGCAAAACAGCTGAGAGCAAATCAGCTGAGAGTCGGGAGGCCGAGCCAATCAACTTGTGCTAATTAGGCTGTGCTGAAGCTGAAAGGAGCTGTTTTTTCTTGCTGTTTGCTTGCAAGGAGGTAAACTGCTGTGAGGCAGAGGCCAAAGGGTGGGGGCCAGTGGGTGGGCGGGGCTACATTTGGTGTATAAGATGCACCTAAATTTTCACCCCCTTTTAAGGGGGAAAAAGGTGCGTCTTATACTCCGAAAAATACAGTGTGTGTGTGTGTGTGTGTGTGTGTGTGTGTGTGTGTGTATATATATATATATATATATATGCGCATATTCTTTCTAGCCAGGTTTTACCTATGTAAACTTAGTTGTTCTTCAGCCCTAGGTTCTGTGAAATCTCATTCACAAGTTCTTGGGCCCTTTTTCTGCTGACAAACTGCAACTCTGTGTTGCTTCCTGGGAGACCCAGATAGCTATTTCTACCTCTTAAGGCGTCCTCAGTGGGCCACACCCACTTCCCAATTAAGTATATACACACACACATACATACACACACCGTATTTTCCCCCCAAAAAGAGGGTGAAAATCTGGGTGCGTCTTATACTCTGAATGTAGCCCCCGCCCAGCTTTCAGTGTTTCAGTTTTCAGAGGCTGAAAAAAGCCTCAGAAACGAAGCTTCAGAAAAAAAGCCTCCAAACAGAGCTTCAGAAAAAAAGCCTCTGAACTTCGTTTCAGAGGCTTTTTTTCTAAAGCGCTGTTTCAGAGGCTTTCAGAGACAGAAAAAAAAGTTTTTTCTGAAACAGAGTTTCAGAAGTTTTGGGTGCTGAAAAAACATCTCCCAGAGGAACAAGTCCTTCTTACTCTTTTGGATTGGACCAGCTAAAACGGGGAGTGGAAAGGTATCAGCGTCAGAGGAAGATCAAAGGAGAGTAAGGAGCATCTTTACCTGCAGGATTGGGGGGCGTCTCCCTGATGGTGTGCAGCACCTTCATATCCCGTATGTTATGTATGTATAGAGACTCTTCCAGGCAGACGATCAATCTCTGGGGGAGGGAAATTAAAAAAAGAAGAAGAAGAAGAGAGAGAAGCAGAAAGCAATAGCACTTAAACTTATACAGGTATTCCTTGAATTACGACCACAATTGAGCCCAAAATTTATGTTGCTAAGTGAGAAATTTGTTAAGGATCGAACTGCTGGCAGTCGGCAAAGTTAGCTTGCAATACTGCATTCTCACCACCGCGCCACCACAGGCAGCAGCAGCTCGCCTGAGCGGGGCCCCCACTCACCTGTCTGTTCAGCTTGACGGCCAGGATCGTGTTGGAGTAGCTGTAGTTGCAGATCTCCGTCCCTTTCTTGAAGTGGCAGACTTTCAGCTTGCGAGGCGCCCGGAGGCTCACGATGGCAACCAGGCTGCTGGAAAAGAGCCGTTCCACGATGCACACGTCTTCAGTGTCATCTGTGGGGCGACCGTGGAAAGGGAACGGGGGTGGCACAAAACAGAGAACCAACAACTGGGTTAAGTTGCAGGTTCAGGAGAGGAAAGACCTCATGAGACTCAGCCCCCCACCCTCCCCAAGAAACTGTCTACCGTGTTTGCCCGAAAATACGACCTAGTCAGAAAGTAAGCCCTAGCTTGATTTTTACACATGCGCCCAATAGAAGCCCTATCCCCAAAATAAGCCCCAATTAAGACCCCCGCCCACTCCAGAGTGCATGGATAAGAATTAAGCTAGGGTGGGGATGGGATGGGGTTTCTCATTTGAGACAAGTGGCTGTCCAGTCTCTTCTAGAAAGCTTCCAGTGATGGCACATCCACAACTTCTGGTGGCAAACTGTTCCACGGGTTAATTGTCCTCACTGTTAGGAAGTTTCTCCTTAATTCCAGGTTGCTTCTCTCCTTGATTAGTTTCCATCCGTTCCTTACTGTCCTGCCTTCAGGTGCTTTGGAGAATAGGAGGGCCCCCTCTTCTTTGTGGCAGCCCCTTCAATACTGGAAGACCCTGGTCCTTCTTTTCACTAGACTAGCCCTACCCCAATTCCTGAAAAATATTCATAGATACTTCCTTATTAAACAGAGAAATAGGATGAGGCATGCACAGGCAGAAAAGTGATGGGAATAACTTCTGACTTCCTGCTGGCTTCCCCATTGACTTTTCTTGTAGGAAACTGACTGGGAACGTTGGAAATAACGATCATGGGACTGCGTCAGCACTGAAGCAGCAACAATTTTGCTAAATTTCTATCCCACAGAGTCACAGGTCCCAGATGCATTCTTTATGTTAGCCCATTTGAAGTTTGTTGATTCAATCACTGTTACCCCACAATCCACTGTTTCGCCCAATTGAAAGTTAGACACGAGAGTTTTAGCAGTACACAGATCATTTAAAAACAAGAGCAGAGGTACACGGGTCTAAGATTCAAGGTGTTATTTATCACCTTTAAAGCGCTCCATGGCTTAGGACCTGGGTACCTACGAGACCGTCTTTTGCCACCAATAGCCTCCCACCGACCAGTTCGTTCTCACAGGGAGGGTCTACTCGGTACCGTCAGTCAAGGCCCAGGGGGAGGGCCTTCTCTGTGGGGGCTCCAACCCTTTGGAATGAACTGCCCCCGGAGATACGGAATATCCCTGATCTCCGTGCTTTCCGCCGTGCCCTCAAGACCCTGATGTTCCAACCGGCGGGGCTAAACATACTAACATGTGAATGATTCTTTAAATGTGATCTAATTCTGGGTTTTATTTAATTGAACCAACTAAGTAACAATTTTAATTAGCAATTTTATGATGTTTGTGTGTCTATATTTTTCTTGACTGTACACCGCCTTGAGTCCTACGGGAGAAAGGCGGTATAGAAATATAATAAATAAATAAATAAATAAATAAATAAGAGACAGACCATTTCCAACTGAACCAGAACATGGAGGCAGTCAATTAAACTACTGCCAGCCAGAGACCGTGTCTCTCTCTCTCTCTCTCTCTCTCTCTCTCTCTCTCTCTCTCTCTCTCTCTCTCTCTCAGTCTCTCTCTCTCTCTCTCTCTCTGTCTCTCTCTCTGTCTCTCTCTCTCTCTCCCTCTGTCTCTCTCTCTCTGTCTCTCCCTCTGTCTCTCTCTCCCTCTGTCTCTCTCTCTTTCTCTCTCTCTCTCTCTCTCTCTCTCTCTCTCTCTCTCTCTCTCTCTCTCTCTCTCTCTCTCTCTCGGATCAATAGGTTGCCATTTCCAAGCACAGCCGCCTATAAATAGCCGGCCATATTTCAGCGCGAAGCTGTTAAGTGGGTGAAGGCGAAAGAACAAGAGGGGTAAAAGCCCTCCACTTGCTGGAGCTTTTGAGAGCTGTAAATAAAAAGCAGCTAAAAATTGGTGCCGCTAAATACACGCCAGTGAGACTTCCTGGATGGAGCTATTAATATAAATCTAACCTATCAAACGGCATTGCAGTCGGTGTTGGCCAACTAGGAAAAAGGCCAGGAAGTTCATGACTTTAGGGGGTTTTGATCCATGAGTCCTTCCGACCAAAAAGACATCACTCTTTTTTTTTTTTTAAATTTGATTTATATGCCGCCCTTCTCCGGAGACTCAGGGCGGCTTACAATGCGTTAAGCAATAGCCTTCATACTTTTGTATATTTATACAAAGTCAGCTTATTGCCCCCACAAACTGGGTCCTCATTTCACCTACCTTAGAAAGGATGGAAGGCTGAGTCAACCTTGAGCCTGGTGGGATTTGAACCTGCAGAAATTGCAGGCAGCTGTGTTAATAACAGGGTGCATTAAACCACTGTACTACCAAGGCTCCTCTTGTTCTGACCTAGGCTTCCTGAGCCAGTAAAACACACGAGTGGTCCCAAAAACCTCTTTTATTGCAACAGCTGTGAGCCACACACAACAGGCATCATATAAGCACCGCACACAGAATAGCCCAATGCACACATTGTGGAGAGAGAGAGAAATTCCCCGAGGATGGGCTTCAGCACAGTCCAAGAGACTAAACCACAGTCTTCTTTCGCAGAAGACTCCCTCGTATCGGAAATCAGAATGCTCTCGTTATAGAGGTAGCCCTCGACTCACAACCGTTCATTTAGGGTCTGCTCAAAGTTACAGCAGCACTGGAGAAAAGTGGCTTGCAACTAGGAACTGAAGTCCGTACATCCTCACGTTGAAGAGGCTGAGAAATCCTGCCTTGGTCTGCGGCCGTAATTTAGGAAACGGTGAAACCGAGAAGGAGAAAAGAACCCCCAAAAAACACTTACTGCACTCGTAGATCTGCTCCAGTTTATCCACAGAAGAGAGAGAGAAGAATTTGTACCCCAACACGCTGCCCACAGCCAAGGACCTGAAAAATAAACAAGAGGTCAAACAAGGATCCTGATTTTAGGGGATCGTGACGACCCAAGAACCCACATCCATAGCAACTCTTCTGAGACCTTCAAATGCTGGACATCTGTAAAATCCAATGATCAGTCTTTACGTTTATTTTATTTTATTCAATTTATATCCCGCCCTTCTCCAAGTGGACTCAGGGCGGTGCACAGCCAGACTAAAACACATATCAATACAAAATTTAAAATTATTAAAAGAATTAAATAACTGTGGCCCAAAAATTTAAAATGCAGACGCCAACAAAACTGGACACAGATCAATAACTGGCCTGGTAGCTCAGCAGACTAAAAGCATTGTGATTAACATTTGCTGCTTGCAATTACTGCAAGTTCGAATCTCGCCAGGCTCAAGGTTGACTCAGCCTTCCATCCTTTCTAAGGTAGGTGAAATGAGGACCCAGTTTGTGGGGGCAATAAGCTGACTTTGTATAAATATACAAAAGAATGAAGGCTATTGCTTAACGCATTGTAAGCCGCCCTGAGTCTCCGGAGAAGGGCGGCATATAAATCAAATTAAAAAAAAAAATAAAAATAAAAATAAATCTAGCTGTTGAAGGAAGGGACAACTCAAAACAGAACCGCAGGACTTATGACTCACTGCTTAGCGACCGATTGACGTTTTGACGGACCTACCTTGGGAGCTACTTACGACCTGGATTTGAAATTACGACGGTCAGCCCACCCCACCCCACCTCCTTGCAGTCACGGGACCAAACTCCAGGACACAGCTACATGTATAGCCATTTGCGGTGTCCCGTGGTCGCTTGACGATGCTTTCCCGAAAACTAGGGTTTTTCGGCAAATCTGCAACCATCGTGAATAATTAGTTCGCTTAACGACTGCGGAGATTTATTTAATGGCCACTGCAAAAACAAGGTCATGAAAACAGGGCCGTGAGGAACTCGTTTTACGACCGTCGCTGCTTACAAGTGTGATGGGCAGGCTCCGTTATGGCCACAAGTCAGTCTAGCCATTGTATTTCTATTGGGTTGATTTGTTGGTGTCGAGTATTTGCAAGCCATTGGCACACGTGTCATATAGACACCAGTGGAGGCAGAGAGTGTCTCCACGCCTACGTGGAAAGGAGGGGCTTACCCTGAGTATAAAACCCCCTCCAACCTTTTCCACCATGCGCTCTCTTCATCTCTCTCTTTTCATGTTTGTTCCTCATGAGTCTCTGTTGTACATAGTTAATATGATTTATCATATGAATAAATACGTTTAAGACATTTATTTATGCATCTGCCTCTGAACTCTTCTATGCTCCTGGGTGTTTCTACGATCCCAATTCCACAGCTGGCACCAAGTTAAGTCATATTTTGTCTACAGAAAAATTCTTCTGTTTGAGAAGGCCGGGAAAGGAGAGAGAGAGAGAGAGAGAGAGAGAATATTCTCTCTCGGTTTATTGCAAAGGCTGCTTATATCCCCAAGAGAGAAATAGCTATCGATTATAAAAACTCATTTGTATCTCAGCACGGGCACGAATCGCACGACAATTCATTTTCTTTTCGAAAGTACAACTTGGGCAGAAAACGAAAACGGTTCTCTATAATGCGCCCCAAAGGGAAAGTCGGTATTTTTAATCTAGTGGTTTGGAAGATTATTTATAGAGTTTACACTACCCCTTATTTATAAGTCACTATCAATTTTAACGGACTCTAAAGCAAGCAGAACTCACGGTGTGTTCTCGCTTGCTAATGATTTAGGGGGAGGGAAAAGAAGAGGGGAAAAAAAAAAGACTTGGTGTTGGGAGAGCAAAATGCATTCATGATAATCCTGTCATCTGGCAATGAGAAATATTCGGCACAATGGGTATATTGTTTTATTGCCTCCAAAGGGGGGGGGGGGGGGGGAATGCAATTCAAACAGAGTCAAGGCTGCCTTTTGGGGTACGTTGGAGATCACGAAGCAGAGCCAAGAGTTTTGGTCGGATTCTTTTTGTTTAATAAGATGATCAAACGGGATCTCATAATGTAAGCCGCCAGAGAAGTGAGTGGGAAATTAACCAACATTTGGAATTTGTTACCATGAAATGGGATGCGGGGCCACCAGCCTCGCTGGCTTCAAACAAGGGTTGAGCGAATGGATGGAAATCCTGGAAATCCATGGTTATTAGCCTTGATATTGGTGGGTCTGCCTCTTGCTGGTAGACTCACCGGTTTCTACCAGTGAGAAACTACATATTCTACAGAGAATATCTGTAGCTCTGGGTTAAACTGGGGAGTCCGTAGTGCTCTCTGAGCTTGGAGATTTTCTTGCGGACATTTCATGACCCAACTAGCTAATATCATTAGTTATCCTTCCTTCCTTCCTTCCTTCCTTCCTTCCTTCCTTCCTTCCTTCTTCCCTCCCTCCCTCCCTCCCTCCCTCCCTCCCTCCCTTGCTGCTCTCTAAGCTTTCATAACCCAACTAATATCATTAGTGATCCTTTCCTTCCTTCCTTCCTTCCTTCCTTCCTTCCTTCCTTCCTTCCTTCCTTTTCTTTTCCTTCCCATCTCTCCTTCCTTCCTTCCCTCCCTCCTTCCCTGAGCTTGGCGTGTTTTCTTGCAGAAGTTTTATTACCCAACTAGGTAATAGAAGGGCAGCACTAGAAGGGCAGTGTTGATATTCCTTGCCTCTTACCATAAATGTTCTTTTAAAAGGAGTAGGAATTGTGGTACTTATGTCATTTTCCTGACACCCACCTTCTTATTAGAAGCCGAGAGACATCCTGGCTAGCACAGAATCCCTTGCCTGGACTCCATCCCCGAAAAAGGGCCTAGAACCACGGAAGAAAATAAAGTAGGGGGGCAACCTCCCCTCCATTGACAACAAAGGTTTGAAATCTTGAAATCCTGCTCCCCTTTTGCCTCGATTGTGTAGAAGCAATAACTCCTTCAATGAAAGACACGTACCGAGACACAAAGACACGTACAGGACGTAGGGAGTTAGTCAAAGTTACATGGCACCGGAGATCAATTAGCAACTGCCGAGAGAGATGAACATAAATAATTAAGCCTACACTTGTCAGGAGGACAGAACATATTGTGGCTTGCGAAAATGTTGCCGTTGACCGTCCTTTCCAGTCAAGAGATTCACTCGCCCTACCAGGGTGTCCCCTTCTCTGTCCCTACCAAAAACTTTTGCTGAAAAGGCTCTCCAAGTTTTCCAGACCAGCCCTGCGTGCCGATTTTTTTTTTAAAAAAAATGCCCAAAATACAGCTCTCTAAATATAGCACGTACAGGTAGTCCTCGACTTACAACAGTTCATTTAGTGTAACCATTCAAAGTTACAACGGCGCTGGAAAAAAAGTGACGTGGGGCCGTTTTTCACACATCCCTGCAGCGGTCAGGTGATCAAAATTCAGAGTCTCGGCAACTGGCATGTACTTACGACGGAGGCAGTGTTCCCAGGGTCCTGTGATCCTCTTTTTCCGACCTTCTGACCAGCAAAGTCAAGGGGGAAACTGGATTCACTTAACAACCCTGTTGCTAATTTAACAAGTGCGGTGATTCGCTTAACGGCTTCCCCGTTGACTTTGCTCGTCGGAAGGTGGCAACGTGACACCGCAACAGTCATAAGTGTGAACCAATTGCCAAGCTTCTGAATTCTTTTTTTTTTTTTTGAAAAAACATTTTTTTTATTTTTAAACATAATAAAAACATGTTTTATTTAAAAACATAAAATCATCTTCAATTATCCATAGAGTGTCGGTTGGTTACCAGTCTTTTGTGCATCTTCACCATCTTCATAGTTTACAGTTTACCTAAATTCTTATATTATCGATCTAATATATATCTCTATATTATTGTCCTCATTGATCATTTATAGCCATTCTTCCCTCATTTTGTACAAAATATTCTAAGATTTGAGTTACTTTATAACATTCATTTCATCACTAAATCGATCCAATAATAATACATCTTGATGTTGTATTTTATATAATTCTACAATTCTCGTATTATAGAAATCTCTTATCTTCTTTCACTTCCATATTTTTTTTTTATCTAACCATCGATAAAATAAGTCCCATATCTTATAATATTGTTCATCTTCTTGTTCTCTAATTTCAAATGTCAATTTGCCAAGCTTCTGAATTCTGATCACATGACCAGAATGGGGATGCTGGAAAAGTTGTAACTGTGAAAAACAGTCGCTTTTTTTCAGTGTGACCTTGAAAGGTCCACTAAACGAACTGTTGTAAGTTGAGGACCACCTGTAGAAGCAACCAAACAACTTTCCTACTCTCAAAGTAGGGAAGGTCGCTCAATCGCAAATCTAGGTATTTTAATACCAAGCAACCACTGCGACGCAAGCGAAGCGGGACTTATCTGGCTGCAGCATCTAAAGCTGGAGTACCAAGTGGGTGTAAAGTCAGGTGTGCCTACACAAACCCAATGGAACAACCTGGTCTCCAGCAGCAATCGGCCCTGAAATTTCGCAGGAGGCCTGGAAGGAACCACCGATGATGAGAAACATTTCGTAATCTTATCGACGGACGCATCAGCGATCGTAGCAGCAAGACTGTGAAGCAACGACCTAAAGGAGAAGCTACGGTTGGATACAGGCTGTGTTCGCGCACACCGCTTCAAAGCAAAATGCGGTTGGTCGGGCTCCGACTTCACGGGTTGGGTGACTCCCCACGCACAATTATCTGAAAATGCGGTTCATGACTTGGCATTGGGCACGAACCCAACAATATGGCTAAAAACCAACGACCACTTAGATTGGCGAAGAGCTAATGCAAATCCTTGCTTTTGTTATATTCCATTCCATTCCATTCCATTTTTTCTATTCTATTCTATTCTATTCTATTCTATTCTATTCTATTCTATTCTCCATTGTATTCTATATTCCATTCTATTCTATATTCTATATTGTATTCTATTGTATTCTATCTCTATTGTATTCTATTTTCTCTATTGTATGTATTCTATTCTATTCTATTCTATTCTCTATTGTATTCTATTCTATTCTCTATTCTATTCTATTCCCTATTGTATTCTATTCTCTATTCTATTCCCTATTGTGTTCTATTCTATATTCTCTATTCTATTCTATTCTATTCTACTCTATTCTATTCTATTCTCTATTCTATTCCATATTGAATTCTATTCTAGTGTATTCTATTCTATTCCTCTACCCTACCCTATCTTATCCTATCATTATCTCCTTCTCTCCTCTCCTCTCCTCTGTACTATTTTCTATTCTATTCTATTCTATTCTATTCTATTCTATTCTATTCTATTCTATTCTATTCTATTCTATTCTTATTCTATTCCTATTAACTTTCTCCTATTTTGATACCCATGCTTCCCTTTTTTGGAAGAATTAAACCTACTTTGCATTCAAGAGATGAGGCCTCTGCAGCAATTCGGTTCTGTATCCTCCTGCCAACTCACAAATGTACACATACACACAAGGAACCACCGTCGGAGCTAGCGGAACAAGCCACACAAAAGGGGAGACGGGAACAGCCGAAGCAGCTTAGGGTTTTTCCTCCCGAGTCACCCACATAGAAAACCTCCGAGCTGGCTTTCCAATCCCGTGGTGTTTAGAGCGAGCACAGAAAGTTTTGCTCCCATTCAAGCAAAACAAACAGAAGGTTGAGAGACAGTATAAGTTACTTTCTCAACTGTTATGTTGTGAGAAAATTGTGTGAAAGCAGACTGTGACAAGATGGGGGAAAATTGGCTTCCGTCTCCTTCCCTGCTCCTCCATTTCAATATTCCTAACTTTGAATTTTTTTAAAAAAAATTACATTTGTTTTATAAGAAGACAAAATTTTAGAGGAAAGAGTCAGCATTAATAATTAGCTAAGTTAGGAATTGTCCCAAAGGTATTTTTAAAAGGCAAATGGACTTTGTTTTTCCTTAAAATCGTTTTGCTTCTCATCCAAGAAACTTCTGTTTAATAACTGAAGAAGCTTCTTGGATGAGAAGCAAAATGTTTTTCAAGGAGAAAACCAAGAAAGTCCAGCTGCCTTTTGAAAAACATCGTTGGGACAACCATGACTTGGATTATTGAGAATCTCCATAGACGTTTAAATAAGTCAGGAATTGTGGTTTTGATTTTTCATTTTTGTTTATTACCTGAGCCTCTTTAGCTGGACTTAAGAAACTGCAAGGTGTTTGTTTTTCTTAATCACTGCAAAGACAGAAAGATCTGACAAGAGTGAGCTGTCAGAATGTGCTTCCGTAAAGCAATATTTCGTAATCTTGGCAACTGTTGAGATGGGTGGACTTCAATTCCCAGAGTGCCTGAGTCATTGCTGAGTACTCTGGGACAGTGTTTCCCAACCTTGGCAGCTTCACGATGAGTGGACTTCAACTCCCAGAATTCCCCAGCCAACAAGGTCCATATCCATAGTTCCTGGAAAGGAGGATTCCCTAAAATAGGAGCTACCACTGAGCAGGCCTGGCCAGAGCTGAATCAGCAACAAATCTAACTACAAACTGCTTAGAACTTAGAATAACTTTATTGTCACTTTAAACAGAGCCTTGGTGGCGCAGCAGACTAAAGTGCTGTTAAGTAGCACCAGCTGCCTGCAATTACTGCGAGTTCAAATCTCACCAGGCTCAAGGTTGACTCAGCCTTCCATCCTTTCGAGGTAGGTAAAATGAGGACCCGGATTGTGGGGGCAATAAGCTGACTTTGTATAAAAAAGAACACCGCTTGGGGGGGGGGGGCGAAAGCCCTACTAAGCAGGTATATACAAAAGTATGAAGGCTATTGCTTAGCGCATTGTAAGCCGCCCTGAGTCTCCGGAGAAGGGCGGCATATAAATCGAATCAATCAATCAATCAATAATAAATAAACGTACACTAATCGGCATAGATTAAAATAAAATTTCGTTGCAAACAGCTCTGGAAGGGTCACCATCTCCAATATACACTACAGAAACATGACAACATAAACAAATGCAAAATTATGCATATACCCACATATATTATATGGCACAGAAACAACGCAGCCTAGTTCTGATGTACTATGGCGAGAAAAAAAGAAAAAACTTTTCTGGTTTTCGGATTCTCCTAAATCAGGGGTCAGCAACCTGCAGCTCTACGGTAAATGGAGAATATTTAGGCAAGTGGAAAGCATGGCTATCCGTGCCTCAAAACATCCTAACCCGGTTAATTAAATCTTAGTTAAAATGAAGTGGACCTAGATGACTGCTCTTCCCCCCCCAAACCAGAGGTCAGCAACCTGCAGCTCTGGAGCCGCATGTGGCTCTTTCACCGCTCTGCTGCGGCTCCGTCACTCAAAATATGCGCCACAACCTCCAATGTGCGACACCCGCCGGCACGTGATTTATTGAGCTTTTCAACCCCCGGTAGACCAACCATGGATAAATCCACGAAAAGAAAAGTTTCAGAAGAAAACAGAACATTTCATTCAACTGCATATGCTAGTTTTGTGGCCGCTCAAGAAATAGTCAGGCACGGGAAGGGTTTTGTGGCTCCCGGTGTTTTCTTTTCTGTGGGAAACGGGTCCAAATGGCTCTTTGAGTGTTTAAGGTTGCCGATCCCTATCCTAAATCGACCCTGACTGTCCTTTGGAAGGGCAGATCCTGAACCTCAATTCAATTTCTTTGGCCACCAAATGAGAAGAGAGGACTCTTTGGAAAAGACCCTGATGCTGGGAAAGATGGAAGGCAACAGGAGAAGGGAGAAGGCAAAGGATGAGATGGTTAGGTTGTGTCATCGACGCAACAAACACGATTTTGGACCAACTCCGGGATACAGTGGAGGACATGGGAAGCCTGGTGCGCTATGATCTACAGGGTTGTGAAAAGTCAGACACAACTACAACAAAATCAAACCAGGGTAAACATTTTACATGCAATTTACCTGTTCGTGCAACTCTAAGCCACATGCATCACATGCATGAGTTAAAAAGCAATCAGAGGAGGAGAAAATACCCCGTTTCCCCCAAAATAAGACATTCCCCTGATAACAAGCCCATTCGGGCTTTTGAGCGCATGGAAATAAGGTCGAGTGATTATTTCACGGTTCAAAAAAATATAAGACAGGGTCTTATTTTCGGGGAAACACGGTAGTAATACCCTACCACCCTAAATTACTACATCAGCGAAGGAAACACGAACCGAAGGAATAAAAGTCCAATTTAGAATAGAATAGAATTCTTTATTGGCCAAGTGTGATTAGACGCACAAGGAATTTGTTTCCGGTGCGTAAGCTTTCAATGCACATACAACAATATAGATTTTTCAGGTTGCAAAAGCACGAGATGTTTAAACCCCAATTACTGCAGGGTTCGAATCTCGCCAAGGCTCAAGGTTGACTCAGCCTTCCATCCTTTCTAAGGTAGGTGAAATGAGGACCCAGTTCGTGGGGGCAATAAGCTGACTTTGTATAAATATACAAAAGGATGAAGGCTATTGCTGAACGCACTGTAAGCCGCCCTGAGTCTCCGGAGAAGGGCGGCATATAAATCAAATTTAAAAAAAAAAAAAAAAAAAGGGATTTTCTCAATGGAAAAATGCACATTTTTCTCACCAATCCTGCACTCTGGTTTACCTATTTTAAGTGGGTTTTCTCTGGAATCCCCATTCTACTGCACCCCAATTTACTTTTTTTTTAAGTAGGTCCCACGGAGGCGGGGGTAGGATAGCAGGCCAGTCTCCCCGATGAGACAAATCTCCCCCCACCCCCCCCAAAAAAATCTTGGTTAACCTTCCATTCTCCCCCACCCCCCACCCCATCCTGCCTTTATGAAACCCACCCAATCAAATAAAACCCTTACCTGGGACCACCCTCTTTCCCCCCTCCCCCAACTGGAGTTTGGGGTGGGGGGTGGGGTGGGGGTGTCCTGCCCACACTTGGAGGCCTCTTAAGGAGAAGGCTGAGCTGCCTTCCCCTTCCAGGATGGCTCAATGGGCTCCCCAGCCCAGGGAGAAGGGCTGGGCTAGATGGCCTCTGGGTGCCCCTTCTCCCCACTCCACCTTTTTTCCTGGGGTGAAAATCCCAGCAGGGGTATGGCTTAGGGTAGTCTTTCCACCTCCTCCCCTTCCTAACCCTAACCCTTCCCTACCACCACCACCCCAAGGCCCATAATCCACAACCAGCTGGGAGGGGGAGGGAAGTCCCAGGAGGGAGGATGGAAGCCAGGGGCATCTTTGGCCACGCCCCCTCCTCCTCCTCCTCCCCCTCCCACCCGCTTTCGAATCTTGGCTCCTGCCTCCAGCCCCCCCCCACACCAACGGGCACGCGCGTGCGCGCTCCGTCTGGCCACGCCCCCCTCCCTTACGTGTTGTCCTGGTTGAAGTTGGCGAAGAGCAGTTGGCCGGAGCCGGCCTCGCCGCTCTGACTGGCTAAATTCATGGCGGCCTCGTCGCTCGTCCTTCGCCGGCCGGAGGAGCGCAAGAAAGGCGGCGAGGCTCAGCCTCGGAAGCGCCCGGCCCGGCTCATCATCATCATCATCATCATCTCCGGCCGTCTCCTCATCTCCCCTCACAGCGGCGCCTTGTTTACGCTCGGCTTAGCGGCCGAAGCCCTTGCGCGCGTGCGCCATCCCCGCCCCTCCTTTCCCAGCGGCCTCTTCGCCCTCGCGCAGGCGCGTTGGAGGAAGGACGGGAGGGGCGCCTGCGCGGTGGCTCTTTTTTTTTTTTGAGAGCCGCCGAACTGTTTGAGGGGGGAGGAGGAGGAGGAGGAGGCTTTTGTGCGCGCAGGCGCAGTTCCCCTTTCTGCGTGCAGATTTATTTTTTTTGCAGAGGGAAAGAAGATTGGGGGAAAAAAAACAACCAAAAGGCGATGAAATGATAATTCGACCACGGATGCTTGTTAGGAATGCTTAGTTTAAAAATTGGCTCAATGATTTAAAAGCAGAGCCCAGCAAATAAAAATAATAAAGCAAAGATCTTTTTTTAAAAAAAAAATAAGTTTTTTATTAGTAATTCAAAATTAAAAACATTGGACGTAGATATGACATCACTGGTCCCAAGCATCTTCCAACACTTTAAGTTAATACATAATATACTAATGATAATATTATGATATATTCCTTACACCTTATACATTATTTAAACATAGTATAATAATAACCATTTATACCTTATTCCTATACAATTATACATATCTATACCTACATATACCTGTCTATACAATTCACATACATATTTATCAATAATAACGTATATAATTCTAGTTTAACACTACACATTTGTTTTGGCTATCCTCCTTTTATCTAACCATTCATAGAATTTTGCCCAGATTTTATAGTACAATGTTTCGAACAAAGCAAAGATCTGATTTATGGGCCATCTTAAGGAAAGGAGTGCAATGAAACGCCAGATCAAGCCAATGAATAAAGTGAAGCATTAATATTTGGGGGTGCAGCTTATTAAGCTTATTAAGACCAGCTGCCTGCAATTACTGCAGGGTTCGAATCTCGCCAAGGCTCAAGGTTGACTCAGCCTTCCATCCTTTCTAAGGTGGGTAAAATGAGGACCCAGTTTGTGGGGGCAATAAGCTGACTTTGTATAAATATACAAAAGGATGAAGGCTATTGCTTAACGCATTGTAAGCCGCCCTGAGTCTTCGGAGAAGGGCGGCATATAAATCAAATTAAAAAAATAATAATACAGAAATAGAAAAAAGGGTACCAATTCATCGTGTATCATAATACTCATTTCGCTCTTCTTGCAATTTCATCGGAGAAGCAAATCCGAAGAGGTTTATTTCACCCAACTTGCAATGGAACGTTTTATTTTCTGCGATAAAGACGATGCTTCTGGCCTGCAATTTTTTTTTTCCCTCCCTCCAGACAAAATCAAGGGCGTTAGGAAATCATGTTTGTCCCCTAAGGCCATTTCTAAGCTCATTTTCTCATTAGTTTAGATTAGCAAAAGGGCCAGACCAAAAGGTGAGTCAGGAGGCTCCAATTAGCGCTGTCTCCCATTAGCCGATAAAGCCGGAGAGATTTGCTGCTTACCCTGAGCCTCTTCGGAGGATGCCAAGATCGGTTTGCATGAAGGACAACAGATGGTGGTGGAAGAGAAGGGAAATGAAACAGCCAGAAAATTGAATCAAGAGAGATTTGTGGTGTGTGCGTTTTGTATGTGTACAGAAACACAAAGGGCTTATTAATTTCCCAGTCTCTGGTTCTGCTTCGTCGGCCAGCCTGATTTCCCTGGACATAGAGAAAGGTTTTGTAAAGCTTCATTTCTAAACACACTTTACCTGGACGGCATCCATTTTTGGTGCTGAAAAAATCACCTGTACCTCACAGGTGAGGGACGCGTTGTACGAAGCAGGCAGAAGGACCTCCAGCTAACATCTCAAGATTTCTAGGTTCTACCATATCGCAAGATCTAAAATGGACACCCAACGTCAAAAAGTCATCAAAAAAGCACAACAAAGAATGTTCTTTCTGCGCCAACTTTTGGCGCAGAAGTCCAACTTTTGCTCCCCTCAACTATTGCAGAGCCTACCATGGCTTGCACAGTTCAGATCTTTGTAGCAATAGTGTCAGGTTCCAAGGAATGCATCCATCACAAATTGAACTCCAAGGCATTCAGTTTTCTCAAAGAACAAATTTATTTAGATACACCATCTTGGCACTAACTGGTGAAAAGCCAGTACTGAAGTTCCCGGGCTTTTCACCCCCAATATAAGTTTCTCAAGTTTCCAAAACAAACTGTCCCATTGTCCAACCAAGATGGGAGCTGGTTGCTTGGTGACTTCTCCTCCTCCTCCTCCTCCTCCTCCTCCTCCTCCTCCTCCTCCTCTTCTGGTCAGCCAGCTGTTGGAATGTGCTTACTCATTGGCTAACTCTGATGTTTTGGCCAAAGGCTCCATCCTCCCTCAGCTCCAAACTGTGTCAAACTGAATTCATGTCGGAATTTATTTATTGATTGATTGATTGATTGATTGATTGCGATTTATATGCCGCCTTTCTCCCTAGGGACTCAAGGCGGCTTACAAAATGACAACTTCAATACAAATCACAATACAATACCAAATTAAAATCAGTAACCCAATTAAAAACGATTTAAAATTATATCAGTGTACCCCCAAACAGATCAGTTTAATTGGGAATACCCAAGGATACAAACAACCCCACACCCCAATCAAATTCAGGCGTGACAAATATCCCCATCACAGCATTTGGATATCTTTTCTAAGGACCTTGTGGTTACTCTACCAATGAGTTGGCCAACCTCAAATAAGCTCCTACAGAAGTTCTTGGAGATGCGCCTTAGCCTGCAGTTCTGGCAATGGGCACCAGAGGGCAGAGGCAATAATCAAATAAAATGGTTTTTTAGAACTAGAGATGTGAAATCCAGCTGTAGTATTTTGATAAGAGAAAGTTGTATCTCCGCAAGGAGATAACAAAACAGCAGGAGGTTTTGCATCCACCAACTGGTTCTTCACCCAGGTAGATGCAGATAAGCTTTTGAAACTTGAAACAATTCAGGATTCAAAATCTTAAGATTGCATCACAGTTTGAAACCGAGTTTTGTTTTGGGAGATTTTATGTTTAAATCTGATCGGATTAACAGAGTTGAGAGGGACCTTGTAGGTCATCTAGTCCAGCTCCCCGCCCAAGCGGGAGACCCTACACCATTTCTGACAGAGGGCAATCCGGACTCTTCTTGAAAGCTTCCAGCGATGGAGCTCCCACAACTTCTGAAGGCAACTTCGGTTGATAGTTCTCAATTATCAGGAAATTTCTCCTTAGTTCTAAGTTGCTTCTCTCCTTGATTAGTTTCCACCCATTGCTTCTTGTCCTGCCCTCAGGTGCTTTGGAGAATAGCTTGACTCCCTCTTCTTTGGGGCAGCCCCTGAGATACTGGAAGACTTCTCTCATGTCTCCCCTAGTCCTTCTTTTCATTAAACTAGACCTACCCAGTTCCTGCAACCGTTCTTCCTATGTTTTAGCCTCCAGTCCCCTAAAATCCTCTTTGTTGCTCTTCTCTGCACTCTTTCTAGAGTCTCCACATCTTTTTTTTTTACATCGTGGCGACCAAAACTGGATGCAGGATTCCAAGGGTGGCCTTGGGAAGCGAGATTATTTCTCCCAAGGGACAGCCGGGGGATTACGCTTGTCCGCCTGGAAATGACCTCTGACCCCTCCCGCCATTCCCCCTCCCGCCACCTTTGCAAGTTCTGCCATCCTCCTACCGTCCGCTTCAAGGGATGCTGGTTGCCCCGGCAACCGTGTCCCGGTTTTAAAAATAGTAATGTCTTTTTTCATTCAGCTCCTCTCCTGCCCTTACAACCAAGGCCATTTATTCCAGGTCTTCCTCATCTATTCTGTCCGCTGATTACGGTTAACTCACCAGCTTTTAAACTAAGGTCCTTTTGAATGTCTTTCAATCTTCCTCAGCCATATCTTTTATTCACTAGCACTGATGATGTTCCCTAGTTGGGTCATGAAACGTCTGCAAGAAAACAAGCAAGCTCAGAGAGCACCCAGGACCCCACAGTAGTTGTTCTTTCTCCTCCTCCTCCTCCTCCTCCTCCTCCTCCTCCTCCTCCTCCTCCTCCTCCTCCTCCTCCCTCCTCCTCCTCCCTGCAAACCCCATTCCCTTCTAGCACTGATGATGTTACCTAACTGGGTCATGAAACGTCTTCAAGAAAACAAGCAAGCTCAGAGACCATCCAGGACCCCACAGTAGTTGTTCTTTCTCCTCCTCCTCCTCCTCTTCCTCCTCCTCCTCCTCCTCCCTGCAAACCCCATTCCCTTCTAGCACTGATGATGTTACCTAACTGGGTCATAAAACGTCTGCAAGAAAACAAGCAAGCTCAGAGAGCACCCAGGACCCCACAGTAGTTGTTCTTTCTCCTCCTCCTCCTCCTCTTCCTCCTCCTCCTCCACCTCCTCCTCCTCCTCCTCCTCCTCCTCCTCCCTGCAAACCCCATTCCCTTCTAGCACTGATGATGTTACCTAACTGGGTCATGAAACGTCTTCAAGAAAACAAGGAAGCTCAGAGACCACCAAGGACCCCTCAGTTCAATCCTGAGCTACAAGCATTCTCCCTTATTGATACCTTTTTACCCATTACAAAATTATTATTATTATTATTATTATTATTATTATTATTATTATTATTATTATTAATTAAATTTCTATACCACCCTTCTCCAAAAAGGACTCAGGGCGGTGCACAGCCAAAGTAAAAACAGGGCATACAAAATTTAAAAACAATATTAAAATAATTAAATATTCTGGCCGTAAATTAAAACAACCCAATTAAAAATTAATTTAAAATTAAACTCAATTAAATTCCTGGTTTATCCTAAAAAGCTGACATCCGTCTCTCGCACATCAATTATCCTTTGAGTTACCAAGAGAAACGGAATTCCCGAGGTTGGGAAATATCACCCCCGTCCCATTGTTTTGCTGATAAAACAAAGGTGGTTACGATAGCCGAAATATATCCTCCGGCCATTTGAAACTCAAAGCCTCTATATTTCTATTTTTGTTTTTTTTTTCCCCTCCCTATAATCTTTACAACTGTTCTCAGAGATCGGCTGTGTAATCAGAGAACAAAATAAAATTGTTCCAA